ACACACACTCACTAATTTATATGTATATACACATATGTATGAGTCATAAATTATAAATGTATATATATGCATACACACACACACACACACACACACACACACACACACACACATATATATATATATATATATATATATATATATATATATATATATATAATTTATGTATGTATGTATACTTTATGTATATGCATGCAGAGCGAAAGAGAGAGAGAGACAGAGAGAGAGAGAGAGAGAGAGAGAGAGAGAGAGAGAGAGAGAGAGAGAGAGAGGGAGAGAGAGAGAGAGAGAGAGAGAGAGAGAGAGAGAGAGAGAGAGAGAGAGAGAGAGAGAGAGAGAGAGAGAGAGAGAGAGGGGGAGAGGGGGAGAGAGAGAGAGAGTATTAAACGCTCTGTTTCTCGTATCCCCATCATCTTAGTCAAACAAATTTTAAGAAACCTCTTTTTTCTCTATTTTTTTTTTTTTTTTTTTTTTTTTTTTTTTTGGTAAACGTAGTAAACTGCGCGCAATGGAAGTGAATGTATCATTAAACCTAATTAGGCAAATCCAGATTTTTTATTTCATTTTGAATGTGAAAACTCCGAAGCGTCAACATGGAGTTCTAATAAACTTTGCATATTTAATAACAATGTCTTCTGTTCTCTCATCTCTTTCTCTCTCTCTTCTCTCTCATCATTTTCTCCTCTCTCTCTCCTTTCTCTCTCTCCTTTCTCTCTCTCTCTCTTCTCTCTCCTCTCTCTCCTCTCTCCTCCCTCCGCCCCCCCCCCCCTCTCTCTCTCTCTCTCTCTCTCTCTCTCTCTCTCTCTCTCTCTCTCTCTCTCTCTCTCTCTCTCTCTCTCTCTCTCTCTCTCTCTCTCTCAGGAAAAAGTAAGAAAGAAGGGAAACTAACAGATATAGAAACAATTGGATACGGACGGAGAACGTTAATAACATAAGGTGAGAAAGGGAAACTAGAAATATATAAAAAGAGAAAACCGCCAATCAATCAAACAACTTCACTTTCATCGATGTCACTTTCATAGACACCCCTCACTCCCCCCCTCACCCCCTTTTCTCCCCTCCCCCACCCGTCCCCAGAGCGTGGGAATCCGTGCTGCGGCCTGGGAATACTGCCTTGACGGGGTGATTGACAGGTCGCCTCCTTGACTTCTGGCTAGAGACTGTAAACAAATCCCCCCCCCCCCCCCACACACCTCCTCCTACTTCTCCTGCCCTCGGCCTCCCTTGTCCTCCTGTTATAGCATACCCTCCTGCCCCCCCCCCCCTCCCTCTCTCTCCTTTACCACTGAATATTCTTCTTCTCTCCCCCCCCCCTTCTCCCCTCTTGCCCTGAATACCCATCTATCTCCCCTCCTCCCGAGTGTCACCCCGCTCCCCCCCCCTCCCCTGCCCCAAATACCCTCCTGACCTTACCTACGGTGAGGTTATTTAGCGGAGGGGGAGAGAGTGGGGGCTGCTGATTGACTGACATGTGAGGGTCACGACTCTCCCCCTCTCCCCTCCCTTTCCCTCTCGCCCCCTACCCTCTTCTCCCCTCCCTTTCCCTCTCGCCCCCTTCCCTCTTTCTACTCCTCTCGCCCCTTCCCCCATACACACCTTCCCCTCCCTTTCTACTCTCCCTTCCCCTCTGCTCCCCCTCCCTCTCTGCTCCCCCTCCCTCTCTGCTCTCCTCCCTTTCCTTCTACTCCCTTCCCCTCTTCTCCCCTCTCCCTTCCCCCTCTTCTCCCCTCTCCCCTTCCCCCTCTTCTCCCTCTCCCCTTCCCCCCTCTCGCCCCTCTCCCCTTCCCCCCTCTTCTCCCCTCTCCCCTTCCCCCCTCTTCTCCCGTCTTCTCTTCCCCCTTCTCGCCCCTCTCCCCTTCCCCCTCTTCTCCCCTCTCCCTTTCCTCCCTCTCGCCCCTCCCCGTCCCCCCCCCTCGTCTGCCGGGTCCTGTGGGGCATGACAGGACCCCAGGTATTGCGTTTCAGCGAGAGATCTCCTTAATGTCGTTTTCGTGAGTTTGTTCTTGTTTGGCAGTTTCGTTGTTGAGAGGTTTAATTGTTGTTTACCTTCTGTTCTTGTTCGGGATGGACGTGGTTCGTGTGTCGTGGGGTTTTAGTCGTCATCTTCGGTTTGTCTGGATTTGGATTTTGCACGTAATTGGCGTATCCTCGTTTGTGATGCTCGGTTTTGTATCTTTATTGTTGTTGTTATGTGTCTTTCTTGTTATTTGGTCTTTATTATGATTTTATATGTACCTTTATTGTTATGTGTATTTTGTTGTTGTTATTATTATTATTATTATTATTATTATTATTATTATTATTATTATTATCACGTGTGTCTATTCTAAGTATGTGTATGTTGTGAGAGCCTATCTTTATTATGAGTAGGCCTGTGTGTCATTACTATAAATATGCATCTTTATTATGAGTATGAATATTTATTATGTAGCTTTATCCTATGCACCATTTATTTATCATCGCCGTCCTTTTAACGCCGATTTTCTCCCCCCCCCCTCAGGATGTGTTGAACCAGTCGGTGGTCCTGCGGTTGCCTGACGTGGTGAAGGTGTCGCGGGCGGGCGAGGGCGCGGCGGGCGTTCCCGAAGTGCGGCAGCTCCTCCTGCTGGTGCTCGGGTGCGCCGTGCAGTCGCCGAGGAAGGAGGACGTCATCGACAACATCAAGAAGCTCGACCTCGTCACCCAGCATTCGATCGTCGAGTGTATCAAGGAGGTGAGGCCGAGGAAGAGGAGGTGGAGGAGGAGGAGGAGGAGGAGGAGGAGGAGGAGGAGGGGTGGGAAGGGGAGGAGGAGGAGGAGGAGGGGTGGGAAGGGGAGGGAAGGGGAGGAGGAGGAGGAGAAAGAGGAAGAGGAGGAGGGGGGGAAGGGGTAGGGGGGTAGGGGAGGGGAGCAGGAGCAGGAGGGGGGGAAGGGGGGGAGGCTTCTTGGAGGAGCTTTTTGGAGCGTTTAAAGACCGCGGGGTCCTAAGAGGCTGTCGTGGCCCAGAATCTGGTGCCTTTGGCCCGTGGAACCGCGAGCGCGCTCTTAAAGATGATAAGAGGAGTAAAGTCATTACTTCCCCCAGATATTTTTCCCCTTTTTTTCCCTCTCTCCTCCCGATTTCGCCCCGGGGCACGCAGTACAAGAACCTGGAGTAGCAGTGGAGCGTAACCGATGCCCAAGTCTTCCCCCCTCCCTCTCCCCCCTCCCTCGCCCCCCCTCCCTCACCCCCTCGCTCTTCGTTCCTCCTCCCATTTCTTCCCCCCTTCTCCGTTCCTCCTCCATTTCCTCTTCGGTCCTCTTCGCTTTTCTCCCCTCCTCCCCTCTCCCTCACTCTTCGTTCCTCCTCCCTTTTCTTCCCTCCCCTCCTCTCTTCGTTCTTCTTCCTTTCTTCTCTCCCCTCCTCTCTTCCCTCCCCCCCCTCTCTTCGTATCCCCCTTCCTTTTTACTCCCCCCCCACCCCTCCTCTTAAAATTGGGTTCCAAAGGGGGGGGGCAAGGAAGGGGGAGATAGGGGTAGGGGAAGAAGAAGAACACAGACCTCCTACAATTCTTCATCCTTCTTTACCCCTTTCCCCACCATTTACTCCCCCCACCCCCCTCTTCCCACCTTCCCCTTTTGTGGCTCCTCCTTCAGATATTGGGAGGAGGAGGAGGAGGAGGAGGAGGAGGAGGAGGAGGAGGAGGAGGAGGAGGAGGAGGAGGAGGAGGAGGAGGAGGAGGAGGAGGGGGGTGGTGGTGGTGGAGGAGGAGGAAGAGGAGGAGGAGGAGGAGAGGGGAAGGTGAACAGGGGGGGTTAAAGGAGATCAGTGTCCTGAACGCGTCCTTTGCACCCCCATCCCACTCCCCACTCCCCTCTCCCCCCACTGCCTCTAATTTCTAACTCTCCCTCCCCTTACACATACCTGCTTTGTCCTGCATACCTTGGGTTACACACACATGTAGCTACCCCCCCCCCCCACACACACACACACCCCTTCTCTCTCTCTCTCTCTCTATGTTTATATGTATATATATATATATATATATATATATATATATATATGTATATATATACATATATATATGTATATGTATATATATACATATATGTATATGTATATATAAACATATATGTATATGTATATATGTGTATATGTATATGTATATATGTGTATATATACATGTATGTATGTCTATATGTATATGTGTATATATATGTATGTATATGTATATATGTGGATATGTATGTATACACACACACACACACAAAAGTGAATAGAGAATTGTTAGCGCGTGTACATTTTCTGCTTTGTTTTTCAGTTGTCATCAAGAATAGATCAGAGTCCTATAGGGCCGTCTTCTCTTTGTTCTTCGTTAAACAATAGTTCGGATGATGAGCGGTTAGGTCATCGCCATTCCTCTTATTACACCCATTAATGCTTTTACTACATTATTTTACCTTTTTTTGTTGGGTGGGTTATTGTTGCAAACAGTAGTCGCAGAAGATATCTTTTTCTTGTGATGATTTTTGCTATTATTAAATGACTTACGATTGTCAAATCCATTGTGAGGTCGAGCACGTTTATAAACCAGGGTTGTGTAATCGGTTTCCCAAGCTTGACAGTATATAAATGCCAGTCCCAACGTGTGTAATTTCTTTAAGCAATTGATTTATTATGACATTTCTTCGTTTTTCTTTTTTTTTCTTTCTTTCTTTTTTTTCCTTTCAAAATTGATGGATGGCGACGTTGTTGTGTTTGTCTTGCGTTTGGCAGTTGCGCGTGAGAACCCTTGCAAGGTCGGGGCGTTATGCAACAGCGGGGAAAAATAAGAAGAATCATGATTAACTTTGGGGCAAGGTTGAGTTATGTTGACATGTTGCAAGAGAAATGAGAGACAAGGAGAAAGAAGACAGAAAGGATGAGGAAAGGAGAAAGAAGACAGAGAGGATGAGGAAAGGAGAAGTGGAGAAAGGAGGTGAAAGAGGATAGAGAGGATGAGAAAAGGAGAGTGGAGAAAGGAGGAGGAAAGGAGAGTAAAGAAAGGAGGAGAAAGAAGGAGAAAGGAGGAGGAAAGGAGAGTAAAGAAAGGAGGAGAAAGAAGATAGAAAGGAGGAGAAAGGAGAAAGAAGATAGAAAAGAGGAGAAGATGGGGGAGTGGAAAAAGAAGACAGAGAGAAGGGGAAGAATGACAGAAAATGATAAATATGAGATTATCATCTTTGTTTAGAAAGAGGCGTAAACATAAACAAACAAAGTCAGTCAGGCAGTCAGTCAGTAAGTAAGATAGTCAGACAAAGCATAAACAGACGTACTAATTACCTCTCCAACCTCACCTGGAATGGGGTCATTAAGAAGACAATTTATCCCGAGGGTCGAGAGAGAGAGAGAGAGAGAGAGAGAGAGAGAGAGAGAGAGAGAGAGAGAGAGAGAGAGAGAGAGAGAGAGAGAGAGAGAGAGAGAGACAGAGAGAGACAGAGAGAGACAGAGAGAGACAGAGAGAGAGACAGAGAGAGAGAGAGGGAGGGAGGGAGGGGAGGGGAGGGGGGTTCTTTGTTCGTAGACTCGAGTTACAACTACAACTACAACAACAACAACAAAAAGGGAATCGATAATATAGATAATCGCAAAGCAATTTCATAAATAATCAGAATGATAATAGTCAATACAACACTGTTTGGGTGAGTCTCTCTCTCTCTCTCTCTCTCTCTCTCTCTCTCTCTCTCTCTCTCTCTCTCTCTCTCTCTCTCTCTCTCTCTCTCTCTCTCTCTCTCAATACCGTCGTATCATTGTGTTAGGAAACCAATTTTATGTATCGAGAAGATATCAATTACGCTATATATCTGTGTTTCATAAAGCATACAGACATTTGCGCAGAGTCATAGGTTGCAGGCTGGCACGTCGCATCCGCCCCGCAGTGATGCAACGTGTTATTTGGTAAAAGCGTGTAAAGGGAAAGTGAAATTCTTGCTTTTGTTGCTCTTTGCTCGAGATTCGTTCATGGGGTGGCCGGTTGGGGGTAGGGGGGGTAGGGGGTAGGGGTAGAAGGGGAAGAAAAAGGGGTAGAGGAAGAGGAGAGGGGAAGGGGGTAGGTAGGTAGAGGAAGGGGTTGGGATAGGGGGAAGGGGGGTAGAGAGTAAGGGGTAGGGGTTGGGGAAGAGGAGAGGGGAAGGGGAAAGGGGTAGAGGAAGGGGTTGGGATAGGAAGGAGGGTAATGGGTAGGGGTAGGGATAGGGGGAAGGAGGTAGGGGTAGGGGTAGGCGAGAGGGGTAGGGGAAAGGGAATGGGAAGGTGTGTGTTTGGGGTAGAAGGTGGGGTAAGGGAGGGGGAGGGGGGAGTGTATGTTTAAGGTAGGAGGTTGGAGGGAGGGAAGGGAGGGAGAGAGGTAGGTAGGGGAGGTGGAGGGGGAGGTGGAGGGGGAGGGGGATTGTATGTTAAGCGTTTGGAGAATTTACATTTGCTTAGTTAATTTATGCATGTTCTTACGATTTCGCGGCGTGTATGGAATAAGTATCTGCGCCTGCGTTCAAGTGCTTTCGAATGCAGGTATGTAAATATGTATACTGTGTGTATTATAAATGTATGTGTGTACGTTTGTGTGTGTGTCGGGATACTTCTTCACTTGATATGCGTGTGTGTATGTGTGTGTGTGTGTGTGTGTATGTGTGTGTGTGTGTGTGTGTATGTGTGTGTGCGCGCGCGCCCGCATGATGATAATGCGGAATGCGAGTAATACTTGTTGCTGCGTCTCATGATAAGTTGCACTTGTTATTTGGGGATGAGTTATGGCATTCTTTTTGCTTGTGGTTCTCTTTTGCCCTCCCTATCTCTCTTTCGCTCTCTCTCTCCTTCGGTCGCTCTTTTGCCCTCCCTATCTCTCTTTCGCTCTCTCTCTCTCCCTCTCCCTCTCAACCCCTCCCTCCCTCCCTCCCTCCCTCCCTCCCTCCCTCTCCTCCTCCCTCCTTCCCTCCTTCCCTCCCTCCCTCCCTCCCTATAGTGCTCTGTGTCCCTCCCCCTCTCCCCTCTCTCTCCCTCTTCCTTCTTCCCTCCCAATCGCTCCCTCTCCCTCTCCATCACCCTCGGTCTTTGTTTCTCCCTCTCCCTCCCATTTTCCCATATCCTTTCCCTTTCTCTCCCCCTCCCTCTCCCTATATTTTCATGTTTCTTTTTTCTCTTTCTGCCACCTCCTTCTCTCCTCCCTCTCGTTTTCATTAGCCCCAACCTTCGCCATTTTTTCCTTCGGTCTATCTCTCGCTTCCCCTTTTCCCTATCTTTCCATCCTTCATATCCTCTCTTCTGCCACCTCTTCCATCTCCCCCCCACCCCCCACCCCAGAAATCTCCCCGTCTCCCTCCGACTAATATTGACACAGTAGCTTACTTCCCATGATGTTCGGGGTCCCCAGAGTGCATAGCCGGCGTCGGTAGCGCTTGCCAACCCAATTACGTATCGCTCCGTGTGAGTTCGTTATCGCCCCGTGTGAATTCGTTCAACTCGATGGTGGTCCGGAGGTTGCGAAAAAAAAAATGGTGGGGGTGTAGTTGCGTAGGAGATGGTCGCGCGCGGGTTGGCGGGTCGGGGAAGAGGAGGGCGTCGCGGTGTGAAGGAGTGAAGGAACGGAGGCGTGGAGTGGGGGAGTGGAGGAACGAAGGCGTGGAGTGAGGGAGCGGAGGAGCGAGGGAGCGGAGGAGCGAGGGAGCGGAGGAGCGAGGGAGCGGAGGAGCGAGGGAGCGGAGGAGCGAGGGAGCGGAGGA